ATAACTTTAAATTATTTTAGATTGAGCTCTAAAATAATTACATAATGAAAAAGGTGGAGCCTCCTGTACCATCAACCCACTGAGGTTAGTCAACTTCTGTGAGTGCCAGCACATCTTCAGTGATAAGAGAGTGAGTTGGTGGTCCCTGAAGAAGCGGTATGGGTAAGTAAAGGAGGCAAAACAGAAACACAAAGGATCATAAGGAAACTTTTTTAGGGCAACAAATATGTTAAGCAGCCTCGTGCTTCCCTCAGAAAACAAGAAGTCTAAACCTCCTGGGTTAAGTGAATATTCATGCTAGAGAGCAATATTATTCAGCCCCAGACAATCTACTGTTGTCTCCTATTAGCTACAACACAGACTGAAAATGCTGACTGAGCCTAATCCAATCTGTACTCAGCAGCCTACATAATAAGCAGCATTGCAATACTGCACATGTGTGCATGTATTTATACATGTAAGATGCACATACATGTTCCTAAGTGTGCTTGTCTGTGTGGGTGAGTTGCATAAGCCTGTGGAAGCCAGACGTGTGCCTCAGGTGTTTTCCTTCCTCACTCTCTATATTTGAGACATGGTCTAAGCTAATAACCTTTAGGGAGTCTCCCATCTCCACCACCTCTACATTTGATTAGATGTATGGCCCTGCTCGTATCTTTTACATGAGGGCTAGGGATCCCCGACTTTGATTCTCATGCTTAAAGGGCAAGCACACGCAGTATTCCCAGGAAAACTGTAAACACTGTAGAGAAAGAGGAGGGCCAGTCAATACTCTACTGAACTCCACACACTCAACTAAGCTACCACCTGTATTCACATCTATTACCCTCAAAGAAAAGTTATGAAAAATAAATATTTATATGTGCATCTATATAGCTGTAAATGGCAATCAGTAGAAAAAAAATGATCTATCCACTATAAAAAATCAAAAATACCAACTGTAAATATTCAACACAACCTGTGTTTTCCTTAAAACGATGTGTGTGTGTGTGTGTGTGTGTGTGTGTGTTTAGTTTATTATGTGTGCTTTTCATCTTTCTTACAATTGTTGCCTTTCTCACTTTTCTCTCATGCATTTATTTATAGTATCTATGACCTGGAGATAAAATAATCTAATAAGAGTAAGAATATTAGATAAAGATAAGAATTTCCTAAATCCAACAAATCTACCTAATTCAGGCTAAAAGACAGGAAGGAAAGAAAATGTAAGAATTTCAGTCTCCATTTACTCTTTTGTTTCATTAGTTTTCTTCACCCAGATGGCCAGAACTAGAAGAATGGTTTTTGCATGTCTCTAAATCCTACATGCAATTTCAACATCCAAATGAGAGCTTTTGTCATTTGATTACATATGATTACTCTGCCTTCTGAAACTTTTTTATTTTTTCTAAAAAGGGGAAATTTTCAAAAGGGGAAAGCTTATGACAAAAATTAGACCACAAAACATACATGGGCCATAGTTTCTCAATCAATTCAATTGTGCTAGGTGTGGCAATGTGCTCCTACAATATCTGGACACCACAGAGTGGAAGCAGAGGAATCAGGAGTTCAAGGCCAACCTCAACTACATAGTGAATCAGAGGTCAGCTGAGTTTACATTAGAGCCTATCTCAAGAAGCACAAAGTTACAAATTGTTTTTTTTTAATCAAACACAAAAATCATCATGCTTGCATTAACAGTTTTCTTCTTTAATGAATGTTTTACTATTTTTTAAGGCTTAGAAAATTGTGCTTTCATAAAACACTAAAAAGAACTGCTGTGCTATCTAGCTTCAAAAACATAAGGGCCCTAGACATGCAGAACTCAGTGAACACTTAAGGGAACAATATCCTTGGTCCAGAGATAAAGAAGCCTTTCCTCAAACAGCATGCTCCCTTTCCTACAAAGCATCATATTACCACAATAATGCTAGGACTACCCAGCAGCCTCCTCTGTGACCTCCCTCCTTCGCCCTGGGCCAGCCTATTCTTCTGGTCCTAATCAGCTTACAGGCTGGGTTTCTCCATTAACTGTTTAATGCATCTTCTCCTTCCCATAAATTCACGGGAGGCCCAAATCCTTAGTATCTAAACATATGACTATATTTGGAGAGTTTCTTTAAAGAAATAATGAAGAAGTGATTTTTTTTTCCTTTAAAGATATAATAATGGGGTGATTGGTGGCCTTAATCTAAAGAGACTGGCCATCCTCTTAAGAAATTAGGTCAACACATACATAGAAGACTATGAAAAAAAATACAGAGAGAAGTCAGCCATCTACAAAGCAAGAAGACAGAAACCAAACAACTAAATGCCACACTTGTTGATGGCTGCCCCTGAGAACTAGGGATATCACTTCCTGTTGTCTCCAGCACAGACATTATAATTCTTCAGCTGTCAAGTCCACTACAGGATGATAATAAGATGCCTTTTGATGCATACCCAAATGTGACTGTGGAAGCAAGCAATAGGTAGAAGCCAGGAGTGCTTTGAAGCACATGAAAGGAGAGCCTGGACTACTGGTAAAAACATGGACATTTGGGTGACTTTCCTGAGGTCACAGATGGAAACGAAAAACACTGTGAATAACAAAACTCAGCCTATACTTCCATGCTTCCTACCACCTTTCCTTCATCATCCAAACATTTCCCCTTGACACAAACCTTCAATTTAGAGTTATACAAACTGATATCCCCTCTAGCTCTTACCACCCAGCTCCTTCCCAACCACTTCGCCTACAGGTCTACACCCGTTTCTTAATGAAAATACACTAACTTATGTGAACAGCAGCATCAGCAACAAAACTGCATCACTTCATCCTGTCCAGACTCCTAAGAGCCTTTGGGTGCCTTTTTTTTTTTTTTTTTTTTTTTTATGAATTTCAAGACCACCTGCAAGAGCTTTTGAATTCTCCCCTGCCATCAATGAAGACATCAAGCAAGCTTCCAGAGCACTCTTACATTTATTTCTTGTATTTATTTCATATGGCTCCTTCTGTCCTGTTCCCAACCCTGCCAGTGTCTGATACAATGCAACAAGTCTTCAAATCTACCTAATAGCTGTCTAATTGCCAGCTTCTATGAACTACCTTAGATATTGAAGGCAACTGGTTAATTAGCACTGATTTCTCCTGGTTACCTTGTAGTAATTTGCCACACTAGAGCTTCTCAATTTTGTGTAAACAGTCTTCAGTATGCTTAAACTTTCAGGAGAAATTATCTTTCTTATCAGCAAATTGATGCTTCAAACAATGTTAACTATAACCAATGAAATTCTACCTAAGGCCAAATGTCTATTTTTCCAAACCCATAAAAGTGGGGCCTGTATCATCTTTTCCCATGTACCATCTAGCAATCCTGAATTCACTGAGAACTCGTCTGTTTCTTCATTCTTGAGAGCGAATCTTTCTCTGACAGATGGGGTATTTATTCTACCATATTTGGAGGCATATCCAGTCCAGTATGTCAACTTTGCCTCAAAATATTTGATGAAATTCAGAGTATGTTGGCCATATTATGAATGTAAAAAGTGGAACCAGTCTGCAACTCAACTCCAGTCAAATCTATGATGACAGACTTGGGAAGTAATCTGTAGAATAATCTCTCTCACTTGGGACCGTTACCTTCACAACAACTCACTGTTTGCTGCTCAGCAGCGTCTAGATCCCCTAATCTTAGCTCCAGATCATGCATCCAAGCTCTCATTTGTAACCCAGTTTGCCTACTTGAGTTAAATGTGCCAGCCAGCATTGAATCAACGCAAATTTGCGTTTATGAAATTATCTCTCTGGTAACCACCAACCTGCAGAGAAGTGTGCAGTATAGACAGCTTTGCTCCCTCATGGTACCCCGTTGAAAAAACATCTGAAATTCAAAGACACCTCCAAGGACCCAGTAGATCATTTTCTGTGTGACAGGAATTTGGAGCACCCTAAAAACAAACTTAACTCCCTCACCAAGCCACCACCAAGGTTCCGCGGTAAAAGAAGAACATGGTAAAGGAAGAAAGAAAACCAGATGAAAATAGAATACTAGGAGAATCCAAGGAAGAAAGGAACGTGTGAAAGACACATCGCTGATATGAGCTATTATCAACATGTTGAAAAAAGTCTCATCGATTTTTGTTTATTTATTTTACAAATGAGGTGAGGAAGAGAAGTTAAGACAAGTTACAGGGCATCCCAAATTAGCTTTACTCGGTTCAGGAACACACAACAGCCCAGGCACATTTATCCAAAACTTTGTATTACAAGTCCAAATCGAAGGCATTCAGATTGTATTAGGGTTTTACATGCAATTGTTTACCTGGATTTTTATCAGCCTTAGACCGTAATAAATTAAATTGGATTATTTGCTCTTTACAAAAATCTTCATTATCTTTGAACAAATTCTACACGTAAAAACCTCCCAAATCCCCAGAACCAATCCCCCCTCTGTTCCCAGATTACTCATTTTATAAAGGGCATCCTACATGAAGGTCTGTGCACAGAGAAAGGTGATGTCGACAACACAGCTATCTATTCTCCAAAACAGGATGTGGTGGCCTGGGCTCAGGTCTCAGATTCATCCCCTCAGGACACGAAAATAACCCGCAGTGGGGTTTTCCCTTGCTGCTGAAGTCACGGTCCTCGCTTATCTGATGCTAGAAGGAAACCCCAGCCTCCGCCCGCAGGCCCGCGTGCCCGCGGCGACCTCCCCGCGCGGAGAGCCCCCTCGCGCCCGCCCCGGCTGCCGCCGCCCCCTTCTCGTCCCCGCCGCCCGTGACCCGCGAAGGACCTGCCCAGCCCCCGAGCCCCAGGAGAATGCCAGCCCAAGCGCACCGTCGCGCCCCGCGCGGCGCGGCTCCGACACAAAGCGTCTCCCGCACGCCGACCCACCCCCGACCAGGCCTCGGCCCTCCCGCACTCCCCGCACAGCAACAGGCGCGCGGCCCCGGCGCAGGCCGCGGGGATGGCGCGGCGGGGCGCGCAGCCGGGGAAACTTCCAGAGCCCCGGGGGCAGCGCTCGGGCGGGGCCGCTTACCCGGCTCGGAGGCCCGGCGGGGACTCCCGGGCGGGGACTCCCGGGCGGGGCAGAGCGCTCCCGCTCCTCTCCGCTCAGGTCGCGGCCCTGGCGGCTCGGGCTGGGCGCGCGCGCTCACGCGGGGCCGGGACACGGAGCCCGCGGCCCGCCAGCCTCGCCGCGCGCCGACCGAGCTCCCGGAGGCCGCGGGACTGCGGGAAGCGGTGACGCCGGCGGGGCGCGCTGGCCAATCAGGGGCGCGGCCCAGCCGCCGCCGGGATGGAACGACCGGCGCCCGGGCCTCCCGGCCCGCGTGGGTGACGGTCAGCGCGAAGGCGGCAGGGCGTGGGTCAGGCTTCTTAATGTGACTTCCAAAGGAAATGCTTTTTTTTTTTTTTTTTTTTTTTTTTAGGATAAGTATTTCCAAAATATTACGCGGGAAATGCTTGTACTAAAACGTTGCTGATGTTTTATCAGAAATTGGAATTCGGCTAAGAATGCAGTGTGTGTGTGTGTGTGTGTGTGTGTGTGTGTGTGTATACACATGAGAAGAGAGGGAGAGCCTCTAGGCTGCCCTCTTCACTAGTGGGTTGTGTGTGTGTGTGTGTTCTGCTCCCAGGCTCTTGCACTGGTAGCCTCTAGGGTGCCCTCTTCACTAGTGGGCTGCGGTGGCCCAGGGAAGCCCTTTCTTGAGAAGTTACTTAGCATGTCACAGTGCATTCTTAGCCTGGCGAGCCAATTAAAAGAAGAAGGGGTGGGGGTGGGGGACATGGAGAAGTTTGCTGCTGGAAAGAGGAGGTTTTCCTTTCTGTTTCACAATTGTCTTTCTGTTGACCTCAATTCTGGAGTTCCACAATCCACCCCCAATCCATACCACCCCCCAGCCCCGTGGAAGAAAGTGTGATATTTTTTTAAGTCTAATATTAGAGTGTGCAATTTAAAACTCTCAGAATTTAAAATACTTACAAGACTTGCGTTTAACGCGGAATAAAAGTATACTGTTATTCTTTGGCAGACTTGTAATTTTGTTTTGTCTACTAAAAATCAATTTGTATTTCCTAACATTCACTAAATATTTAAGGAAAAAGGCAGCACATAAGATACACCAGGCTTGGAATGAAACCGATGCCCTCCAATGGATACTTTTGTCTGCTAATGGAAGTTGAGTAAATGAATTCTCTGTCCTGGGTGGAGAGAACACATAAGCCAAGACCTTGGTTCCACAACTATGAATCAGCATAGAGTTTCCCAGCAGGAAAATACAAACTGGATGGTTTCAGAGTTTATGTGTATGAATCAGCTCTGGGTTTTTTTGAAAATGAAAACATAATTAGGGTGAGGGCTAGTTCAAACCCATCTTCCCCAGTGTGTCCATCTACTTACCTTTCCCATTGGTTCTGTCAGGCCTTCCTTTTGACAACAAAAACAAAAGGAGAAGCAGGAGGGGGTTCTCCCCAAAGCTCTGTCTCCACCTAGAGTGTTCTTGATCACAGCTGTGGAAGAGACCCTGCCTTCTGGGTACAGCACCGCACTGACATTTGTCTTAATGAAGACACAGCCCGTCTTCTACATCCATGGGACACATCTTTCATCTCCTAGCTCCTGTTCTCTCGTGCGTTCACAGTGGCTGAACACTCTCTTCTTGGAGACCCTGCTTCTGTCCCTCTTGTACTTTGTGTTCCCCACTTCTGATTCCATTCAGTCAAACCTTCTTTGGTTTCGTTCCTTATTTTCAGGTGCAAATGTGCAGGCTTCAGTGGTTCTTCATTAAGAAACAGAAATAGCTGTAGAAACTTTGAAATAATAAATGACTGTGTAGACCAGCGTTAGAACTCTTAAGTAGGCTCAAGTACACAACAAGGACATTTGTTCAACCATGTTCGTAGCAGCTTTATTTGTAATAGCCAGAACTTGGAAACAACCCAGATGTCCATCAACAGAGGAATGGATACAGAAATTGTGGTATTTTTACACAATGGAATACTACTCAGCAATCAAAAAGGAGGAAATCATGAAATTTGCAGGCAAGTGGTGGGATCTAGAAAAGATCATTCTGAGTGAAGTATCCCAGAAGGAGAAAGACAAACTTGGTATATACTCGCTTATATAGACCTACAAGATATGATAAACATAATGAAATCTACACACCTAAAGAAGATAATCAAGAAAGTGGACACAGGCGAAGGTGATTAATCCTCATTTAGAAAGACAAATGGGATGTGCATTGAACGTACGACAGGAGTCTACCGAAGAAGGCATCTGAAAGACTCTACCTAGCAGTGTTTCAAAGCAGACACTAAGACTCATAACCAAACCCTCGGCAGAGTGCAGGGAATCATATGAAAGAAGGGAAGTTAGTATGATATGGAAAGGATAGGAGCTCTACAAGGACCAAATATGTCCGGGCACAGGGTCTTTTCTGAGACTGACACTCAACCAAGGACAATCTATGGATATAACATAGAACTTCTGCTCGGATGTGGCCCGTGGTAGCTCAGTAACCAAGTAGTTTTCCAAAGTAAGGGGAACATGGACTATTTCTAACAGGATCTCAAGGGCAGGCTGTTTGACACCCTCCCACCCCAGGGGAGGAGCAGTCTGTTAGGCCACAGAGGAGGACTTTGCAGCCAGCCCTGAAGATACCTGATAAAACAGGGTCAAATGAAAGGGGAGGAGGTCCTCCCCTATCAGTGGACTTGGAAAGGGGCAGGGAGGAGACCAGGGAGGGAGTGTGGTGTTTGGGAGGGAATGAGGGAGCGGGATACAGCTGGGACACAGAGTTAACAAAATGTAACTAAAAAGAAAAATAAAATTTAAAAAAAAAAAAAGAACTCTTAAGTAGGAGCTAGATTGTGACGCTTCCTTGTCTTCAGGTACGTCTGACTTGAGGCCACCCTTCTCTTTGCCACCTTTAAATACTGGAATTCCTCAACATGCAGATATGGATCCTCTTTCTGTTTTAGGTGTACCTCTAAATCATTTTCACTTCATCAAATGGCCAAGAACTTGTATGTTCGTTTCAAGCATTTCTTGAACACCCCTGTTTGCCTGTCTCAAACATTACCCACCCAAAATGGAACTGCAACAACTCTGTTACATCTGCAACGTAGAATAGACCCATTGTAATAAATTCTCACTGTACACTATTTTTTGCTTCATCATATGCATCTTTATGATTGTAGATTTACTGTTATAGCTGCTTATGCAAGGCTTCAGTATCTCTGTTCCTTCTTAATCCATAAACTCCATAAGTACACAAATCAAATCACCTCATAGCCTCAGCCTAGCAAAATGCTGGGGTTCAAATGGCAAAGGATAAATAAATGATTGCAAGAGTGAACATTCATCAATATAACTAACTTAGAAGCTACCCCATAAGTAGTCAGTTTTATATCACCATAATCAATGCCTGCATCAATCAACTTTGAAAGCATGGAAGTTTATTTTGACTTATATTTTGGGAGGTTTTAACCAATGATCTGTTGGCTCTGTTGTTTTGGACCTTTGGCATCGCAGCACATCGTATGGGAAAGTATGGCAAAGCAAAACTGCTTACCTGATGGTAGGAATGAAACAGAGGAAGGGAATGGTTTCACTGTGCTCTTCAAGGTCATGAGCCCAAAGACCTAAAATGCCTCCCACTAGCATTCACCTTTGAAAAGCCCCTCTACATGCCATTATCACCAAAGGAGGAACCAAGTCTTTATAAAATGTGGGCCCTAGGTTAGTGTTATCATTTAGATTTCAAAGTGCTGCAACCCACATTGTTGCTCTCATGTTATCTTGTGCTTGGTTCCTAGAAATAATTAGTTACTCTAGGACGGCATATTACATTAGCTTTTTTTTTTTTAATTCAAGAATTTGAAGTAAAATCTAACAGAGGAAGACAAAGCACAAAGCAGATACGACAGAGTTGCCATACAATGTGATTATACTTTATGTTAGATGTAGACCCAGGAATCTGAAAGCAAAGGATGCCTGACATTCCAAAACCCGCATTCCAATGAGACACATTGAGGTTCTCCACAACCAACCACTTTTTTTTTTTAAATCCAAATAATAGCTTAAACCTTCTTGGTTTTTTTTTTTTAAATTGAGAATGTGTTCACTTTATTTTGATCATATCATCCTCATACCACCTCCCGAATCCTTCTAGATCCACTCCTTCCCCTACACCCTCTCAACTTAACATCTTCTTTTTAAAATGTTTGTTTGTTGGTTGGTTGGTTGGTTTGTTTGTTTCAGAGCTGAGGACTGAACCGAGGGCTCTACCACTGAGCTAAATCCCCAACCTCTAAAATGTTTAACAGCCTATAAACTCCAATTTATGCATAAACTTCTGGATATGAGAACATCCCAGCAGCATGTTTGACCTACCTGGGTGCACACCTTTAAGTTAAACTGACTCTCTTCCCCCGGCAGCCATCAACTGAAATCAGTGCTTCAGCTAGAGTTAAGGGCTCGTGACCCTGTTCCCTTTCCAGGGTGGATTATTGACCGCCTTGATCTTGTACCCGCAACCACAGCCACCTGAGAGCTCAGTTGTTCTGGCTAGTTTTATGTCTGCTTGACAGTAGCTGGAGTCTTTTTAGGAAAAGGACCCTCAACTGAGAAAATGCCCTCCCTCACAATAGGTGTTGCTATTCCTGCGCTGATGTGACTCTGTAGTGGAAGTTTTGGTTGTGTAGTGTGGATATGTTTTTGTTGTAGTTCCAAGTGTGCGATGTGGGAATGCTTTGTCCTTAGCTGATAGTGGTCTCAAGAGAGGTGAGAGAGCCGAGTAATCTTTGTCAGCTGACAGCAGCCTGATGAGAGAGTGTGTGATTCTTGTCAACAAGAAACTGTCTCTTCTGTGGGGACATGGCTTTGACAACCTGAAAAACATCCTTGTGAGGACTTTAAAAAGGTCTAACCAGGAGCCCACAGACAGAGATCGCGTTGCGTCACAACACTTTGCGTCACTTTGCTGCGCTTTGCTTCACTCCTAGAGAGAAAAGCACCAAGAGAACTCTTCATGCTGCATCTGGGGAATCCTGCTGCTGCTGCTGTTGCTGGACCTTGTTGCTGCTTTTGCTATTACTGGTTTCCCGTTTGACTGGACTGCTTGTATACTAATGAGGAAAAGTGGAATCATCCCAACAAACTTTTCTAAAAAGGCCCACATCCCCCA